ATAGAGAGAGAGAGAGAGAGAGAGAGAGAGAGAGAGAGAGAGAGAGAGAGAGAGAGAGAGAGAGAGAGAGAGAGTATAGACACAACTGCAAAAATTTGCTGGATAAGATAGTACAGTGTGACTGCCAGACTGACTGACTAAATGACTAAATGACTGAAGGACTGATTTCATATCCCGTCACCACACATAACCAGCTCCCACATGTAGCCCAGGCAGTGGCGGTGGGTAGTGAAGCCCCCCCCCCTCCCCCAACACTATCCCTCAGTAAAAGAACGTTTCTTAAATAACTAAATACGCAGTTGAAACCGTTATGATCGCACACAATGAACACAGTGTGATCAACATGGCGGCTTGCTCGTTTTTCCAATCACTGTTGTCGGCGCTTACAAATTTTGTAACCTAACAGCCAATCAAATGTCTTTGGGGCTCAGCAAAGGATGAGCCCATTCCCGCGTCCATTTTGTAATATAACCCTTCTTGAAAAAAGGTAGAAGCCTGGAAAAAAAACCTCTGTGCTGAGGGCTCACGTTCTCCTAGCCCTGACAATGGGGTGAAAGTTTACGACACACTTTCCGCTAGTGACACGGACACATTCGCGCTCATTGGACTTTTGTTTAGGTGCGTTCTACTTTCCACGACTACACAGCCTGATCCAGCTCATAGACGGAATATGTTTGAAGTGCTGTGTGTGCATGTTTGTGTTTGTGCCACTGAGATTTAACATCACGCCGATTCCACTATTAAGGCAACTTTTCACACCAAAAAATGTAACTTAGAACAAAGAGATGGGAAGGCACAGGTGGCTCTTCTCGTTTGAATGGTTCTTAAAATGCGTGGCTCACCATGACTATAGAGAAATCTGTACAGTTTAGGTATTATTGCTTGCTATTTGGTGGTAAAGAAGTGGAAGCATCCGAAACCCCACCCAAATTTTGGTCCACCCACTGCCACTGAGCCCAGGCCCTAATAGCTTTCCCGACCTCCCCAGGCCGCCAGGCCACGACGGTCGGTGCTTAGTGCGCGGTGGCGCGAAATCTGATTCGTGACACAGATTCTCCGCACGCGCATCAACCACATACCCCCAGCGAGACGTCGCTTCCAGAACGAGGTTATTCTGGGTCAGCTCCCAGCCCCTATAACAGGCAGGCTTTGAGACAGCTATCAGGGCAAAAACTTCGGCGTATGGACCTCCAGTAAATTCCACTAAAACGCCTATGGTCTTTATCTCTTGTCACATTGATGGGTTTTCTACCGTGACAAAACAAGGAGATTGGGGGTTTATGGGATTGTCTTTCCGACGTACAGTGAAGTTGATCTTGTTTCCGATTGACTGAACGATAAAACAACACACAATTACTGAGCGTTGTACTCTCTCCCACGTCATGTTTTAAATTGTTTTGGTAAGGATTTTACGGCACTTGCAACACAATCAGGTCATATTATTATAAGGGCCGAAGATTACAAGTGTAACATAATAATTATTTTAAAAAGAAGGAGGAGAAATGGGGATGATAAATGTTTGACAGGAGAGAAGGAACGAACCACACCAGAGCACCCGTTAAATGTCCGCTGCCATACTTTACCTATTTTTGGGATGATACATCTATGGCTTTAGATGACCGAGGCTCCATTTATCTTCCCATACATCGTAATGTAGGTCACATGGCAGTGTTAGAGACTATCTAGACCCATATGTGGAAGCTCTGGACTGGTGTGTGTGTGTGTGTGTGTGTGTGTGTGTGTGTGTGTGTGTGTGTGTGTGCGCGCGCGTGTGTACACAGATAAACAGACAAATAGAAGACAGACAGGCAGACAGAAAAAGCGACAAAGCGTTATTAGAATATAATTTCTACGTGTGTTTCCATACATAAATATTTACCCCTCGCCCTGTGCTCTGAGATAGAACAGCATGCCCCTATGTCGCTCTGCCACAGCTCATCTCTAGGGCGCAAACATAAGCCAAATGATGTCAATATGATGAAGCGAGGCATGTGTGGGAATGTATTGTTATTTTGTGTGTCTGACAAGTGACTGTTCGTGTAGTATGTGTGTGTGTGTTTATGTGTGTGTGTGTGTGTGTGTGTGTGTGTGTGTGTGTGTGTGTGTGAGAGAGAGAGAGAGAGAGAGAGGGGGGGGAGAAAGATATATGGAGGGAGAGAGAGAGAGAAAGAGGGAGAGAGAGAGATGGGGGGAGGGAGAGAGAAAGAACAAAGTGTGCACAAACACGAAACAATACGCTAAAAGAAAGAAATAGAGGGAGAGAGAGAGGGAGAGGAAGAGAGACAGATGGAGGGAGAGAGAGAGGGAGAGAGAGAGAGAGATGGAGGGAAGGAGAGGAAGAGAGACAGATGGAGGGAGAGAGAGAGAGAGAGAGGGAGAGAGAGACTGAGAGAGATGGAGGGAGGCAGAGAGAAAGAGCAAAGTTAGCACAAACACTAAAAATGCGCTAAAGGAGAGAAAGAGAGATGGAGAGAGAGTGTGTGTGTGTGTGTGTGAGAGAGAGGGAGAGAGAGAGAGGGGAGAGGAAGAGAGAGAGAGAGAGAGAGGGAATGAGAGAGAGAGAGGGAATGAGAGAGAGAGATGGAGGGAGGGAGAGAGAGAGTGGAAAGTGTGCATAAGCACTAAACAATGCGCTAAAGGAGAGAAAGAGAGAGGGAGAGAGAGTGAGTGAGAGAGAGAGAAAGTGTGTATGTGTGTGTGTGTGTTTGTGAGAGAGAGAGAGAAAGAGAGGGGGGGAGGGAGGAAGGGGGAGAGAGGACTGATGGTGTGCGTGTTTGTACC